GGGGGCGGGTTAAGGGGGTGGGGCTAATGGGGGGGGCTAGGGGGGGCGGGGCTTATTGGGCGGGGCCTAGTGGGCGGGGCTTATTGGGCGGGGCCTAGTGGGCGGGGCTTATTGGGCGAGGCCTAGTGGGCGGGGCCTACTGCACAGCCTGCATGCATTTTACAGTTACACTTTATTCATACTGAGCAGGCACTTTTGTCCGAAGCTTGGGTACAAAAGTGAGACCCTGAGTCTCCAGCATTGTCTGCAAACTGGTACAGTCTGTACAGGAACAGGAACTTCAGTCTTATTGAGCAACAGATATGTTAGGGAGATATGCTGCATATGTCACAGAGACGATACACACAGGAGGTTTCTGTTTTTTATTTATTGTGCTTTAATCCTAAAGGACATGCAATATAGAAAGCAGGGTCAGACAATTGGGAGATAGGAGTCTTGCTTAAGGACCTATTTTCCAACCCTGGGATTTGAACCTGCAACCTTCCGATCACAGACACAGTGTCCTAACCCAATCAGTCCCCATTTATACCGCATCCACTTAGCTAACAGGAAAGGTCCTGGACACCCAGCTCTGTCTGGGGTCCATCAGACCCCCTTTACTCATCTTATAACTGGTATTTGACATCATAAGCTGGCTGTTTCCTTCCATCCATCCATTTTCTGTAACCGCTTATCCTGTTCAGGGTCACAGGGGGTCTGGGGCCACAAAAGCACAAAAGGGGGGCACAAAGCAAGAAACAACCCAGGATGGGGCACCAACCCATCGTAGGGCGTAGGGTGTAGGGCACCAACCCATCGTAGGGCGTAGGGCACCAACCCATCGTAGGGCGTAGGGTGTAGGGCACCAACCCATCGTAGGGCGTAGGGCACCAACCTATTTTAGGGCATAGGGCACCAACCTATCGTAGGGCACACTCACACAACGCTCACACATGCACGTCTGCAGGCAATTTCCTAACTCCCATCAGCCTCAGCATATTTTTGGACTGTGGGGGAGTCCAAAAATCGGAGTACCCAAAGAAAACCCACATGCAAACTCCACACACAGAACCCTAGCAGAGACTCGAACCCTGGTCCCAGAGATGTGAGGTGACAATACTAACCACTGCACCACCATGTCTCCCTAAGCTGGCCCCTTTATGCAACAAAATTTTGAAAAACCCTTAAGTGGTATAATTTGTTGCATAATTTCTGTAAAAAATAATAGCTGATTAGTCATTGTCCGGGGAAAATCCAGCGTGTATCTGCAGCAATCAAGAGAGCGTTTGATTGTGAGCCAGATTCGTTACTTACACTTTGTTACGGCCCCGGTTGCTGTTCTTATTTTCTAAACGCGCACCATCGCATTACCGGCAAGCGGAGCCCAGGCCGCTCAGAGTCGATCTACTCCGGCAAAAACTGATGATTTCACAATTAGGGGCATAATTGAGTTTCCCACTTGTGCTGATCGCCGACAATGAAAAAACACTTAAAAAGAGGCAGGAAACAAGCGGGGAATTTCAAGCACATTCTGATCGAGTGTCCGCGCCGTGGGTAAATGTTTGCGGCCTGGGGACGGCACTGGGCTGAACAGGCACTAGGGAGGCGTGCGATCGCGGAGTTCAACGTACAGGAACGTGAAGGGACTGTAGCTTAAATCCATACAGCGGCAGATTACAATTGTCCTGAATATTAGGCTCATACGAATACTCTGTATTGTAATATTCAGTTTAAGCAGTTGTCGCTAAAATTCAAATGGTAAATGCTCACGGTAAAAAACATTTACGGTTAAATTTACATGTATATTTATTACTTGACATTTGGGTGCTGAGCAACAACTAAGCCTGGTAGATAGAACCTGGAAAATACTGATTATCTTATTTGTATGCACCAGCAAAATGGCTTAAATGTTTATGACAGGCCTTCGAAAATAATTTTTCTTGATAATCGCAATTATCTGAATCAGCAGTACAGGCAAAAAAAAATCTGTAAAACTTCAAAGCGGGCGATGAAATGGGCTGCGTGTCGTCGCACGGTAACAGTGAGTCTGATGCTATTGTTCGGTAGCTACAGCACATCCACTGACAGCCCGTATGAGTGTCTGTTGTGCGATATATTTGCTGATGTTCCCTGGATTTTGTCCTCGAAAGACAGCAAGTTATTTGTGCCTCAAAACAAATTCTCAGAATGGCAGGTCTTGCGAGGTGGGGGGGTCTGCGTGGGGGGTTGAAACCTTCACGCTCTCACTTTGTCAGTACAAAGCCAAGCTCCGCCTACAGCACCCTTATTTTGTTTTTTTTTTTTTGCTGCTGTCCTTCTAAGCTCGGCTTATCAACACACCTCCATCTTTCCCCTTGAAGCCCCCCCACCCCCCCCCCCCCTTCACCCTGCCAGCCCTGTCAGGTTAGCATAGTTACGTCACCTACCGTTTTCAGAAACGCCACCCCCGGGATCTCTCCTCCCCGGAATGACATTCGCTCTTTGCAACCGCATCGACTTGCGAGTTTGGACAGAGACATCAGCCCTCCCTGACAGCGTGTCCTACATTCTCCTACAGAAAGAGCGTGGGCAGCTAAATGGTTTTCCGCTCCCCCCGGAATACCAAACTCCGCCGAGGGTTTGTGCTCGCAGTGGAGGGGGCGTGCCGGGATAGGCGGCCGCTTCCCGGACACGGTCCCGGCAGCCGCGGCTCCTGCATTAGCGGTGACGTTCGCGTCACTCAGACCCCCCCTCCCCGCTTTGTCGTGATGCGCGCAGCATCCCCGCTCGTTGTCAGGCCGCCGTCGTCTCCACAGCTAATGCCGGGATGATGACAGTCACGGCAGAGCTGCTTTAGAAGGGAAGGCCGATTTTCGGAGACTACAGAATAAGCGAGTCAATGTGCTTCCCGCATATAGAACATTCCCCCATAGACCTCTTTGTTTCTGTTCTGTCGGGTTTAACAGACTGTTCCCCATATAGGAAAGAGATACATACCTACCTGTACATCCAAATAAGGGTTGCTGTGCTCCAGTCTTTCTGCCTGGGCCAGAAACCCCAGAGTGTATGGCTGGATGCATCCTATAGAGGGCGCTAGTCAATCTGTGGACCCTCATTACACACACAGGCCCACTCTAAGGGCCACAGAGTTGCTGTCTTATCACATACTTTTCAGCAGATCCACATGCTTTTGAACTGCGGGGGGGTAAAGCACGGAGGACCCGGGGAGAACATTAACACTCCACAGGCACAGGGCTTAAGACTGCAACCCAGAGCCCCCTGGGGTATGAGGAGATGGCGCCCCCTGCTGGGCAGTCCTGCTGCCCCCTCACAGATAATGACATGCTCCTCGTTCACATGCTGTTGTTTTTCCAGTGCGGTGGATCACTGGGTAGCTCAGCAGCCTCCCATCTCCAGGGCTGCAGGTTCGATTCTCGCCCCCAGCTCCGTTTGAGTTTGATTTGAATGTTCTTCCCGTGTTTCTGTAGGTTTTCTTGCTGTAGTCCAAAAATACTCAAGTCGGGGATTTGGCTCCTCTGAGTTGCCCGTGGTGTTTATTAGTTTGAGTCCTCATGCCCTGTGATGGACTGGCATCCCATCCCATGTGTCCCTCACCACAAGCTTCTCGGGCTTGTCTCCAGGCCAGCTGTGACCCAGTAGGCCTCCAGTGCCGTGACCTTCAGAACCGTGGCAACCTTCATGCCCCGTCCTCCCTCCAGCTTTCATCTGCCCGCGCTTTGATTTAATAACCAAATTGCTCACCCCGGCATCTGTCTCCACGCAGGACCCCACCAACGGCTACTACAGTGTCAACACCTTCAAGGAGTGCCACTCCACGCCCACCATGACGCTGGGCGGCGGGAACGCCACCAAGACCCACAACCCGGGCAGCTCCACTCTGGGCAAGCAGCGGGTGCCCACCGGCATGTCCTTCACCAACATCTACTCCACGCTGGGCGCCGGCCCCAATCGCCTTTATGACTATGGACAGCGCTTCGTGCTGGGCGTGGGCAGCAGCTCCATCGAGCTGTGCGAGCGCCAGCGCGGCTCCCTCAGCGACTCCGGCTCCTTCCTGGACACGCAGTGCGACAGCGGCATCAGCAGCTGCGGCCGGACGGACGGATACACGCCCTTCGACAAGGCCAGCAAGGCCTCAGCTTCCTCTTCCTCCCATTACTCGCAGGCCTCGTCGCAGAACTCCGAGCTCACGCGGCCCCTGCAGAAGCGCATGCAGACGCACGTCTAGCGGGGGCACGCCGTGGCCTCCCGGCCACTAGAGGGCCTCAGCGAGCGGCCAGGCGGGACTCTTTGTACATGTGGTGAGGTCGCCTCTGTTCCGATTGGGGGATTGCAGTTTCCGTGATCATTTTGGCCTTTTTAGCTGTCTAAACGATTTTGATGCACACGCTCCAGAGCGCATATATATCCTATAAAAACTGCTTTTTCTTGCCAAAGTAGATCGAGCTTAAGTGTACACCTCTTTACTGAGTAGATGCTACTTAGCAGTTTTACATCTTTCGGGGCAGACGGTGGCGCTCCTTTAACCAGGGACGGCGTTCCATTGCCTCAGAAGCCTCCACGTGTGTGTCGACCTCACCCAGTCACCCACATCCGCCATTCGCCAGACGCCCTGGGCTGCTGTTACACAAAGGCAGGGGAGGGGAGCCTGCAGGTGGAGGTGGAGCGGAAACGGATGGCCCGCCCTCCTGCCCATCCTCCGAAGCACAAACAGAACCGCCGTCCCGTCGCAGTGTCGTTCGCAGAAATGCGGCGAGACAGCCAGCCGGCTCGGGGGGCCCGGGGGGGGGGCCGGGGGGGCTCCGTCCGCCGTCCATCTGCAGCGCTGCCGCGTTTCTTGTGATTACTCTGATGTTTTTCGTCCTCTGTTTTATTTTTTATCGGACGCCGCATTATTGGCCTGTGGAGTGGACCATCACAGCACCACAGATCACAGGAATGCCCCCCCCCCCCCGTTCATTTGAAGCGCTCTCCGATCGCCTTCAGTGGAGTGAGGTTGCCTTGTTTACGTGTCTGGTGGCGGCATGTCACGTGTTACCCCTGGTGGCTTCTCCGTGTCGCGCGGAGACTCCCTCCCATCTTTGGCCATGTTGACGGAAGGGGGGGGGGGGGGGGGGGGGGTATCCATGGCCCGATCCGGCTGGTCATCGCGGGGCAGTCCGCCACCCCCTTGTTTACACTGGAAGTCGGCTTACTGTGAATTAATTTTTTTTTTAATCACCCTTTCCTTCCGTACCTCTGCTTGCCTGTACGATATCTGATGGAGAACATCGGCATCTCCATCGCTACACCGGGCAACATGTGGCACGAAAAACAGACTGTGAATCTGTGCCTCTGTGTCGCCTCCTGCCGGACCCTATGCCATCCTGCTGGGAAAGCAGGAGTGAGGAAAAGAAATTGCACAACTTACATAATCTGTCAGCAACTTTCAGTCTCAAAAAGCGGCGAGGAAAACCAGGATCGCTACACATTCCCAGACATAAAGCCCACTGAGCCAGCCAACGGCTGCCGTCATTGGCCAGTTCCTCGAGGGCCCGCCCCCCCTCAGCAGCTGTTATATAATCCAACATGGCTCCATCTGCTGGAGGGGCAGAAAGCTGCACCTGGCCTCGTCCAGGTGATGAAAAAGCACGATGCTCTAATGTACTCCAGGGGAACTTCGCCTCCAGCCTCTGCACCCCTTAACTTCCCTGCTATCATTCAAACTGGAGGAAAACGTGCTCACGTCCGCCCCCTCTGGTCAGGGAGGGGATGACACGAGTAAATGAGTTTATCAGAATCCCCGCCGTTTTGGAGCAGACCCTGGGTCGGCCGTTACCAGGGCCGGAAATATGCTCAAGACAGCCTCATCGAGCATGTGCACGTCGACTGAGTCAAACCCTAGCAGGTGTCCAGACAACAAGTGCCAAGTCATTCTATAGTTACACGCCCCCCCCCTGGCTAAGGAGAGAAAGTGGACAGAGCCAGTTTCTAAGCTCTTACGCTAAACCAGCCACTCAGTGGTACTGGGTGTGTTGGGAGTCTGTGGGTTTAAATGGTTCTAGAATCATCCAAAATGGGGCTTCGAGCAAAAGCTCCGTAGTTTTCGTCAGCAGGACTTTTCAAACTCGGCACTGTACTCTGAATAACCCACAAACGTTCACCTCTGCTGCCATGTTTCAAATCAGAGGTCTAAAATTTAGCCGATGTACGGGTTTCCCTGCTCCACAAGGAGATTCCAGAGCGACAGTTTACTGACCACAGCTCAGCACCAGCCTGGACATGTGCTGTTGGCTAGGGACGCGGCACTTAGCATGCGCGACCTAGCAGTTATATGTACAGGGTATTCAGTTCCTGATATTCCATGCTTGTGCTTTTGTTCTTTTATTCGTTTGTTTTTTTCTTTCTTTTTTACTTTTTGTAAGGTTCATGCGGGAGGAGAGCTCATTGTGGAGATATCATCTGTCAGTGTAAATTTCTCACTTCAAATCACCTGAACTCAGTGTAAGGCTCAGAACAGGCCTGCAGGGACACGTTCCAGAAGTTTCAACACTTCAGCACAAGACAATACTGGGCAACCTACTATTTTTATGCAGGACTGCACAAGAAACACTCATGCCATGTAAGGGATTACCCAAAGTTGTATTTTACCTGTGTTGGACTGTAACTCTATATTGCTTTTGCTCTGTGTATTTGACAAAGGAAAAAAAAAACACAAAAGAAATGAAAAAGTCCTCTTTGTTTTTTGCTTCCTGCAGCAGCACCCATTTCCAAACCCCAATTCCCAGCCAGTCCTTTTCTGGTTTGAATCCCAATCTGTTTGTTACCCAGTTCATGTGTCAGACACACTATGAGCAATTTAGACACACCAGGAAACCAAAACAGCCACACAAACACACACAAACATGGAGAGAACTTACCGACTCCGCACTAACACACCCAAGCCTTGATGGGACTTGAACTAACAACCCTCTACAAGCTATAATATAGGCATATGTGGATACCCTTGAAAAATGTGTTCTACTATAATACAATCATTACGGCTTATAACATACACACGATCAATGAAACTTATACAGCCCTCCTGATTGATGAGCACTTTTCCACATGTGCTGCCTAATCGGCATTTGCTGCCCTGTGATCTGTAACATCCATTTAAAGCTGCGGGTCACGGGGTTTGAAAAATCGTCACGTATCGGATCAGCGCTGAAAATTTGCTTTTCAGCCTTGGCTAGATCTAGAAACAGCCCATAAAGTGATTAAGAGCTGACACAGATATGGTGGAGCATTTTTAATGTTTTTTTTTTTTTTTTTTTTAAATAATGCTGATAAACAGGCATTTCTCAGAAGAATCCAGTCAGGATGCCAGCTGTCATTTCACAAGACGAGCTACTTCACTGTTCTTTCATGTGCATCAATAACTTCTTAGTTTAGGATTAAACAAACGTAAGAATGTAAATGAAACAACATAAACGCATTTGTGTTTTAGCGACTCTCCCAAAGGAATATTTGGAACAGGTTGTAAATTGCACGCTTTGATAGCTGGTGCTCAAGTTTCCATTTGATGAAGCACCGGATGGCGCCAGAATGGATGCTGTGAGCAGGAGGCGGTACCATGGGCTGGTTTGCCGATAAAACTCTCCTTCTGCGGAAGTGCGGCGCTGCTCGTGTGGGAGAACAGGCAGCTGATCCTGACATCAGGCCCTCCTGCAGCTCATCCACACCAATGGGACGTTACAAACCACCATTTTGGGTGTTTACATTGTGAGGGGGCTTTGTCAGGATGTCAGCTAAACCATCGCACAGCGGAAGTAAGGAAGAAAAAAAATGACAGTTATGAGTTCAAATCCCAGAAAGCCTTGAACTAAGTCTTTGGAAAACCTTTAGCTATATATATATATATAAAGTCAAAGTTAGTACAGATGGAGTTTCTGGCTCGTGGGAATCTTTTTTTGTTTTGAGGGCAGAAAGAAAAAGAAGCAACTAGAGGAGGCAGGATCGAGATGTCTGATTGGTCTGTCCCAATTCCTCCAGTTGCTTGGGCCCACCTCCTCTACAGTCTGATTGGTTATCTCTCTGAACCAATCATTTTCTTTCTGCCCTCAGATTTTTTTTTATGCAAGTAAAACTAAGCTTTGGCTGTGAGTGGAAAAACAACATCATTGTCCTCTACAGTCATGTGATCCTGGATTGTTTGGATACCCATTCAAAATTTTCAACCTATTAATTTTATGCTTGTGTCCATAAAGCTGGTAATACAGGTCCTAAATTGCTCCTGTTCTACCAATACAGCCTGACATTTTTATCCACATGTAATTTCCTTAATGATGCTTTCTTCTTAATTGGGTAACTTACATAATGAGCTCTCTATCAGTATGTAAGGGACCAGAGTGGAAAATGGAGTATACGCAGAGTGCTACATTGTAATTTAAAGGCAAATGCTTTTTAAAGGACTAAATTAATTGGGTGGTGTTCACTACTGTATTACCTGGTTGGAAAAAGAATCAATATCAAGCTGCTCCATGTTCTCTAAATTTACTTTTAAAAAAAAAAAAAACGTAAATGTTGTTGCCTCTGTGTAATTGCCGTAGAGATCCTTCATACACTGTCATTTGCTTAAAGACATCTGTGTCAAAGCAAAGCTTATTTAGGAAACATCTGTCCTTCAATTAAATTATGAATATTAATCCGCGCATCTTACTCGGAGGGAATGACGGATTGCCGGGTTTGCCACACATTGGGACGGACCGTAAGGACTGGCTGCCTAACCAAGGCTGTTTGCCGGCCTTAAATCTCGTTTCTCACGGCTACACTTTCACGTGATCGCGGTATAATTAACGGTGCGCTTTCTCTGAAGGAATTTGGCCCTGAAACACCACATCTTGGCGCTTTGAGACGCAAACTCAATCAAAAAAAATCCTTTCCAGTTAAAGCAAACACCCGTAGGCCTATATAATTCTTTTGTCAGACATACTGATTGTTCGCCATATTGACAAGCTGGAAGCATAGTATTTAAATTGATTGGTACAATGAGGGGAACGAAACCAGCCCCGTATTCTCATTTCCTCGCTCCACCTGGGAAACTTTGCTCGCCAGTAAATTAAAAGCGAAGACGCTGATTCATTTAGCATTTACTTATTCGGGAGGGGGACGAGGACCTAAAGGCGTTGTCGTGGAGGACTTAGTGTTTCCTCTTTATCACAAGAAACCTGCCGGATAAATCACTGGGAACGTCTTCAACAGGCCACGGAGCTAACCAATTCCTCCGTTTAAAACGGCGCCCTAACTCACCGTGCAGGACAGATTGATTAATCAGACACCGCCCCCCCATTACGCTATTAATTACCCACCCGGTTCGACGGCAATTTAAGCAAGATGGAGCCTCGACGCCTATTGATTTCAAACGTAACAGCGGTGCTTTGTCATCTCCTAAGAAACTAATATTTCTCATTATCTAGATTATTCTCATTGTTTTACAGGATGAGGAGTACTATAGCAAACTGATTGCATTCCGGCGGGTACATCGCGCAAATTGATCTGGGGGGGAGGTATTTTCTAAAAGCGCATAATAACACAATGTCTTCAATGAAAATGGAAAACAAAATTCAATCAATACAGTTCTTAGAGAGAGGGGGAAATGATGTTTTTCCCCAAGGAAAGAGAAAGCATGGTAGATCTGGAACTTAATTACGCCTCCCTTTATGTTGAGCACTGTATCAACAAAGGTCTTGCTATTTTCATTCTAGGAAATTATAGGCTACCATGTTGCAGAAAGGGCTGCCATGCCGTAATCAGAGGGCTCTATTTAGTCGACAGATGCGGCTTCTTAACGAATCGCGAATAATTTACCATTGGTGACGCTTCTTAGTATTTTGTAAATGTCGACACGCACCGAGCTCGATATCGACGCGGCGCACAAAACACGTGCGCTTTAGCAGAGAAGGGTCCAAAAAACCTGCCTTTTTAAAATGCATCATTTCCATTTATTATACGCATATCTATGCGGCACGTTTATACTACCCATCGGAAGAACTACGCGGAATTTGTTGTTCCCGTGCATACACGGGGGGGGGAAATGAAAATTGCCCCTTTAAATGGCGATCAATCTGGTATCTAAAAGAAAATAACAGGCTTTTAAAAGATATTGAAATCATGAAAATAGCTGGTATTTTGTGGAAGCGTCAGCGAAATTCCACCGATAGAACTTTTTAATTCCCAATTGAAATGACCTGTTGGCAATTATGCTCGCAATTATTTTTCGCCCTGAATATCACACTGAATCTGGGCGCTTGGTGATAGGCGACATTTTTTCATTGATTATTTTTTTTGTTTGTTTGTTTTGATCGTGATTATGCTTTTAATGTGCATGGTATAGACGATGTCACAGAGAAAAGGGGGTTAGATTTTAGCGTAGGGTAAACACCAATAAGTCATACATTAGCGTAAAAAAATGAGGTTGAGTCCGTATTAATATGACTTATGGGTCGTCCTCCAAGGTATCGCGCACACAGCATTTAATCTCATCTTAAATCCTACGATCATCCTCTCTTAACACTCGAAGCACTTGACTTGAGTAATTATTTCGCTAATTGAGCTAATGGGGCGTCCTCAGTCGGAATGGAGCCGCAGAACCGCCTGAAAAATCATGCCGGCTGTAAGTTACGTTTGGAATTGGATAAATATACATATATATAGTTATATATATACATATATATATAGTTAATGTACAAGTTTATACAGGCCCGTTCTTATATTAACTCTTATAATTCAGTGTTGCTTTTTTCTTTAATTAAATGGTTGGTCCCCTTATGGGTTAAATATGTAGATCACGCAGCCTGCTGTCTTGAATCATTAAACTTTCATTGCGCTTGACAGGATCCCGCTTAATGCCAGGGGCAGGCCGGGGTCGGGTGGCGTCGCTGCCGCCTGCGCCGGAGGTACGGCCGGGCAACATCCACCCCCGCTAATTACTTAAGAATAACGACGCCCGGATTTCACGGCTGTCCCTGTTAGGATGTGATGGCAGGATGAAATGTGAAAAAAGGCAGCATCGTCCCTGCGCTGTTTTTAATGACCATGAGGCGCAGGCACTGGGAGACGCGGGCCTACTGGAGAGAGGTTAAATGGCCATAGACCGATGTGCCATATTCAGTTTTTCTTCTGTCAGAGAAACATATCAGGTTATTTAAAAAAAAATGAAATTACAGCTTATTATTTCAGAAAAAGCGAAAATGCAAAGGGAAACAAAAGTAGGGCGCGCACTCATATTCCGGGCCGGAGAGGAAACATTTTACATGACGGGCAATAACGCTCAGGTAACAGGCATAGCTACTAATAATGTCGTAAGAATTGCAGTATATAAGTAGTTTTATTTGTTGAACCAAGGTGATTTCTGGGATTACATATACACGTCTGCGAGTCTGATGCCAAGCGAGGCAAGCAAGGTCGGGCGTCCCGCTGAAAGACGCTGCTGCGCCGAAGGCCTTTGTCCGCATGTTCGGGTCCGGCTGGGCCGCCCCCGGCTCAAACATGAACAGCAAGCGCTCATAAAAGAGCCTGAAACGCGTAAGTTTCACCAGAGGCGAAGTGCGGGCAAGTCAGATCGAGTCTAAACACGCCTGGAATGAGATCTGAATTAGCTGCACCCACAGCTACTTTTACAGTGAATTTCCAGAGGCTCAAAACCCTTATAAATAACTAAATCGTTTGGAAGCAGTAACAAATAACTGAG